ATCTTTTAGGTGAATTACTTGAATCTAAAGGTGCTTCTGATGATTTAGAAGAAGGTGATTCAGAAGATGATGTATTATTATTAATTAACTTAAGAGCTCTTGCCTGAAAATCTACTAATTGATCTGGATCTTAATTCATGAATATTAGTTTATTACCAGCATGTGCTACACTTTTTTATTATAATAATTCATTCATTAATCTCTAATAATAATACATATTATATATATACTAAATTTAATCCTTATATATTTGATTTCTCTTTTATTAATTTGTATTTTTATTTCTGTTCTATTAATAGTTATTCATTTAACATTTGAATTTCATTATGCATTTTTAGACTAATTAAATCAGGATCACGAACTTCCTTAAATTTTATCACTACTCAAGCAATTTCATCATATTCTGGTTTTAATTCTTCCATCTTTGCTAATTTACTTTCAGCAGACATCAAATTTTCTTACATGCCTTACATTTTTTATTATAATTATGCAATTAATTCTTTCTCTTATCTTTATACTTATTCTGTAATTTATTAATTGATCAATTAATCACATTGAGCTTCATTACGCTCTTTAACTAATTTCTCAATTTTTAATTGTAATGTTTCATTCTCTTCTTACAAATTCTTTAATACTGTTAATAGTCCCTTATGTTATTCATCACTAGTTTAAGGCATCAAAACCTTTAAAGCTTACTTATTTAATTATAGTAATCCTTAGAGCTCACAAACTTGCTCTTATAATTATTAATTCTCCTGTTTGAGATAATCGAGAATCTCTAAACTCATTATAAATTTAATTTTTCAAAATTTTACTTAAGGAGAATTTGCATAAATTCAAGGATAATTCAAATATATATATAGTAATCATAGATATATATTACTTAGTTTAAATCAATGATAAGTATAAGACATTTTAAGTAGAAAGGTAAATAATTAAATTAATTAATTTAATTGTGTATAATTACTTATGTTAAAACTAATATTCAATTTCTCAAGAGCCATTTAAAAATCACAAAACATTTTAAAACAGATGAGAAAGAATAACTATTATATTGATGATCCCCAGATTAGTTAAAGAAAGGAAGCATAATAAATAGTCGAATAATTATATTTTAATAATAAGAATAATTTATAATAGAAGCTTGAAAAAGAGGAAGAAAATAAATTAGAAAATGTAATTCAAAAATTAGATGAAGATATTAATTTCCGAAGATTTTAGACTGCATAAGAATTATTAGATTTTTATGAAGCTAAACCATTAAAATCTAGAGAATAATATTTATAATGGTTCAATTAATTATCTTATTGTTTAAAGTTTTAAGAGTAAATTTAAGAAAACAAATTAAATTATTACAAAAAATTAGCTGGTTAATATAAGGCATAATATAATAAAGAATATGAGATGCCATATATTATTTTCTTGACCTCTGCTTAAATTTTAGAGAATTAAGTTTTTAATTAAGTTATTGAAGACTTTGTATCTAATTGTGAATGGTAGAATGGTTACATGTAAGAAAATAATTAAAAAAATGTCTTTAAAATTAACTTTATTCATTAGATTATTATGCTCTTTAAAGATTATGGGAGGATAATGAATATCCAATACAAACTATTTAATATCTTTCATTAATTATTAAAGATATAAGTATTAAATTAATTATATTATAGATGATTCAAAATTTGAGAAAGATTAAGAACCACAATTTATGGAATTATTTGATGGTAAATTTTAATAAGGATAATCTTTATAAAAGATATTGGAATAACTTTTAATATAGAAAATGTAATAAATAAAATTTTATGATTTAAATAATTAAGATTTTGCAGATTTTATATTCATTTACTATCAATTATAAAAATTACCTATTCTACCTACATTTCTTAAAGAATTAGTAGATAATGTTAAAGAGAGAGTTAGTACTTTAAGTTTATTAGAAAATATTAAAATCTTATAAGCTATGTTAGCAATAGAAATAGGAAATAATCAGTCATATTGCTATCTTTTATGGAATATTATACGGTTAAAAAATAGAATCAATTCTGATTATTAAATCATAAATGGAATTATTTTCATATTATTGCATTTTAAATAAAATATTTTATTTTTGAAAGCACATAGAAATTATCCAAACCAATTATTGTATAAGATGCTATGGTATTCTCTGAAATATTTAATATTATTACTGATGATTTGAGTTTATTTAATTTTGTTCATCTTAGTCAATTGCTTAGTATAGCAAGTAAAAATTTTGCAGATCCATCTAAATTAAATGCCATTATAATTTCACTTTTTTAGCAACCAGAATTGAATTAAAATATTTTAATTGATAATAAAATTGAATTGTATTATAAAGCAACTTAAATGGGAGGAGCATTACTTGATATTACTCAAATATTAAAATTTAAAGTGTAGCTATTACAATCTCATTCAATAACAGGTTATTTTGAGAAGAATTAATAAAAGGATGATAATTAAATTATAGGATATTATCCATATTACTATAAAATAGTAAATGTTTTGAAGATATTAATTATTTAATATTTAAAGTGAATGAATTGACAAGATTATAAACAGCCATAAAAATTGATAGAGTGATTTAGAAATTGATTTCATAAATCAATTAATATATTTCTATAATTGGGAAAACTATATTTCCAAATAAGATTGATATCTAATAAATTTTGGATAACAAAAATATTATAAGAAAATAAGATTTGTATGGACATCCATTAATGTTACATGCTAGATTGTATATGAAAGAAAAACTATATTTCTTAAAGAAATATGAAAAGGATTTAGAAATGGATGTTTATTATGAAGACATTTTATTAGATTTTATTTATACAAATAAAAGAACAGGAAATAAAGCATTAATTTGATTAAATGGAGTATAATAATTATAATATTATAATAGTAAAGTAATTATTAAATTTCTGCTGTTGGTGAAATGATTCCAAAAACATTAATTAAATTTTAAGATGATCTTTTATCAAAATCAGAAATTCCAGTTATTTAAATTAATCTTCCTGACATGATTAAATGTTAATCTAAGTTATATATTTTATTTATTAATTATTAGATCTTATTATGAAGAATAATTGAAGGACATTTTAGAAGATGGGTCTGATTAATTTGAGGAGATTGCTAATATAATCTCAGAGTTAAGATAAAATATAAAGAAAGACTTTAATTATCTATCAATCCATTAATAAAAATAGGAGCAAGAAAGTTAATAAAATGAGGAGGAAGCAGTTTAGAATAATGATGGATATGCACTTTCAGATCAAGAGATGTGATTATGATGATTATTATGTAATTTATGTTTTTGTATTCCCCGTTGATATCAGATAAATAAATAATTTTTTTATTAATGATAAGCGCTTATCGATTTAATTATGAACATTTGCCAAAAGAGGTAAAGCTTAATTCTTTTAATGCCGAGAGAGGCCTAATTTATAATGAGATCATTCGCTTATTAAAGGATTTTGAAATGAGGTAATTAAACGTGTTTATGTTAGTTCTTCTAAGCATTGGTTTCCAATAATGAATTTGCTGTAAAGATTCAAATAAATTTACTCTTTTTTGAATGAAGAAAGATAGGAGCTTGCAGAGTTGATTCTTTCAAGGTTAGGAGGATTGAAATCTTCTGTAGGACTTCAGAATGGATTTAGCCTTGTTTGCACCATTATTTAAAATAAGCAAAAATATCTGTCTTTAAAAGTTGATTGGAGATATTGGCATTAATATTTATAAGATAAGTTTATGACAAATAAANTACTATAAAATAGTAAATGTTTTGAAGATATTAATTATTTAATATTTAAAGTGAATGAATTGACAAGATTATAAACAGCCATAAAAATTGATAGAGTGATTTAGAAATTGATTTCATAAATCAATTAATATATTTCTATAATTGGGAAAACTATATTTCCAAATAAGATTGATATCTAATAAATTTTGGATAACAAAAATATTATAAGAAAATAAGATTTGTATGGACATCCATTAATGTTACATGCTAGATTGTATATGAAAGAAAAACTATATTTCTTAAAGAAATATGAAAAGGATTTAGAAATGGATGTTTATTATGAAGACATTTTATTAGATTTTATTTATACAAATAAAAGAACAGGAAATAAAGCATTAATTTGATTAAATGGAGTATAATAATTATAATATTATAATAGTAAAGTAATTATTAAATTTCTGCTGTTGGTGAAATGATTCCAAAAACATTAATTAAATTTTAAGATGATCTTTTATCAAAATCAGAAATTCCAGTTATTTAAATTAATCTTCCTGACATGATTAAATGTTAATCTAAGTTATATATTTTATTTATTAATTATTAGATCTTATTATGAAGAATAATTGAAGGACATTTTAGAAGATGGGTCTGATTAATTTGAGGAGATTGCTAATATAATCTCAGAGTTAAGATAAAATATAAAGAAAGACTTTAATTATCTATCAATCCATTAATAAAAATAGGAGCAAGAAAGTTAATAAAATGAGGAGGAAGCAGTTTAGAATAATGATGGATATGCACTTTCAGATCAAGAGATGTGATTATGATGATTATTATGTAATTTATGTTTTTGTATTCCCCGTTGATATCAGATAAATAAATAATTTTTTTATTAATGATAAGCGCTTATCGATTTAATTATGAACATTTGCCAAAAGAGGTAAAGCTTAATTCTTTTAATGCCGAGAGAGGCCTAATTTATAATGAGATCATTCGCTTATTAAAGGATTTTGAAATGAGGTAATTAAACGTGTTTATGTTAGTTCTTCTAAGCATTGGTTTCCAATAATGAATTTGCTGTAAAGATTCAAATAAATTTACTCTTTTTTGAATGAAGAAAGATAGGAGCTTGCAGAGTTGATTCTTTCAAGGTTAGGAGGATTGAAATCTTCTGTAGGACTTCAGAATGGATTTAGCCTTGTTTGCACCATTATTTAAAATAAGCAAAAATATCTGTCTTTAAAAGTTGATTGGAGATATTGGCATTAATATTTATAAGATAAGTTTATGACAAATAAAGATAAGACAATCACTAGTTAAACATTCAGTACTCAATTATTTATGTAATTTTGTTAATTCCTTAAAACAGTAAAGTATTATTTTGATGCTGATGTTGTTTAATTTGCATTCTTAAAATTTCGTGAATATTTCGGTTACTAAGACAAATAAGTTGCATGGGCTTATTTAATGTTATTTGTACCATTTAGAAATGATATTCCATAAGATGCCTATAAAGATCTTATTAAATATTTGATGGATCCCTTATTAATTTTTGGAGAAAAAGATAATTGTAGATTAAAATTTATATTAAATTATATAAGAGTATATCCATAATAAATGAATCTTATGCCCTAAATGATGAGATTTTTCCATGGTTATTGGCGTAATGATTTAGGTTAAGATGATAAAAGTATATATTATTAATATTATTTTAAGATGAAAAATTAGTTTCTATGTTATTACCAGATGATACTTTAGGAGTACCAAGTTTATTTAAAATAATGCCATAATTATTAGTTGAATTAATTGGAAATTCAAAAAGAGAAGGATATTAAGAATATATGTTAACAATGAAGAGACTATTTTCTTTAGTGGATTCAATTACTTCAGTGTATTCTTAATAAACTATGGATGATTAAATATTTAAATTACTTAAATTAATGGTTGGAAATTTTATTCAAAAATATAGAAGAGATTAATTATTATTAAGAATTTATGAAATGTAATAAAATAAAAATTACGGTGAAAATGTTTCTGAATCTTTAATGTAAGAATTAATCGATTAATTTAATGATGTTCATATTTAAGATTTTATTGAAAGTGATAAATATATTCTTGAATTACTATTAATTAATCCAGACCAAGGATATTCTAGTTTTTAAATAAATTATCCAAATAAAAGAAATTCAACTAAAATACATGCTAAAATTAATATTGATAAATTATTACCATTTTTATTGGATGAATAAGCAAAATAAGATTTTATTGAAATTGTTATGGATGTATTAGATAAAGTCATTTATATGGAAGATTAAGGATATTCAACTGAAAAAAACAGTATTATATTTATCCTGTTTTGAACCCAAATTAATAGATTTCTTTTTAAATAAAATGAAATAAGCTATTAATGATGTTACAGCTCTCTAATTTATCACAATTAAGAGTATATTAATATTTATGGCTATTCCAATTTTATAAGGAAAATGGTATTTATAATAGAAACTATAATTTTTAGTCCTTTTTCCATTCATCATCTATAAGAATTTATGGATTTGACATATAAATTATTTGAAGTTTAAGGAGTTAGCGAAAAATAGATTCCTTAGAATTTTATTGTAAAATATTCATGAATGTTCCAATTTATACACCTGAGGAATATATGGAATTATATGGAGAAGAAAATGAATTATGTCGATATTTAAGCGATTTTGTATCAGAAGTATTCAATTTAGTTATTAAAAATTTTAATTTGATTAAGTACAAAGATGTAGATTATGGATTTGTATTACCAAATCTAATTAACATCTTTTGGCCATATATAGCAAATTCATCATAAAGAATGTTAGATAATATAGTTAATAGAATTAAAGAACATTTAGAAAATTTAGAAATGTAAGATTTAAGTGCCATGGGAGATTTAATAGATTGTATATTATATAGGGATCCTTCATTATTAGAATATATTATAGATATTTGTATGGAAAAATTATTAAAATAGAGATAATCTCCACTTAAGAAACATTATTTAAGTTTTATTATTCAATTATCAAAATACTCAAATTATATATTAGAATTTGAACCTACTGCAGGTAATAAATAATCTAAATTATTATGGTTGACATTACTTGAAAAATCACTTACTTATGCTGGTAAAGCTACTTAAAAACACGATATGAAAATTAAAGCAATTGTGATTAATTATTTAATGGATGAACAAGATGAAGTATTCACTAAAGTTAGCGATATAATACATTCTGTTAAAATAACAAATCAAATTATTAAAACTAATAATTTATCATGGCAAAATTAAAGTTCTTAATTTTTTAAAAAAGATTTTGACAAAAAAACATTATACCAACCTTAGGATTTGATTGTTGAATGGTCTTTACCAATTAGATAAGATTGGGAATATATATTTGATTGGAATAAAATGTTTATGTTTGGAGTAATTGAAGAATTTGAAAAGACTTATATGAAAGAATATGAATTTTATGAAATGCCAAGATATTTCCCTAAACTTATTGATTTAATGATTTTTAGAAATCCTCCCATGGATCCAAATCTTAAATAAATTTGTTATCGTGTATGATTTCTTGTGTTTGGATGTTTTACTGGATCATCTCTATTTACTCCTTTTTAACCATAAGATCATATTGAAGGAAGCAAAGGACATATAAAATTAGAAAAAATCTAATAAGATTATTTAAAAAGAGTCTGTCCACCTGAATATTGGAATTTAAGATAAAGATTAGGTACATTTGCCATAAATTCTATTTGTTATGCTATAAATACAAACTTTGAATTAAGAATTATAATTAGGTAGAGAGTTTATGGAAGGATGCAGATAATTGATGCAAGCTTCTTAATGTAAATTATATTTTGAAAGTCGAATTTAATGTGTAATTGATATTAACACTTATCTTTATTAAAGACATGTTTTTATGTTACATTTATAAGGTATTCCAATAGAATACAATTAGATATACAATTATATAATTGTTCTATATTTATTAGGTCATTCTGAATTTAGTAGTCCATAATATTTATTACCATATTCGGAAAGAGCTACCTACACTTTAACTACTGGAGTGAGAAATAACTTTTTTGAATATTTATTAGGAATATTGGATTACAATGATAAGGATAGAAGATTAAGTAAAATCAATTAGTTGAGTGAAAGGAGTAAAGAATACAAATAATTAATTGATTTATTATAAGGATTTAATTCAGCAGTATAACATATATCTTCAGATATAGAGATGAGTATATCTATTCAAAAATAATTGAATTAATTTATTAGTGTAATGGAATATGTTGATAATTAAAAATGTAAATATTTGATTATGGAATCATGTGTTCATCATTTAGCTATTTAATATGATGAAAGTACTGTTGTTTTATCTAATGATTATAATGATAGACTTGAAATGATTAATAATAGTATAAGAGCATTATAAAGTTAATATTTCTGAAAATGTAAGATTATTCATAGTTTATCCTTATTGAATAATATAAATATTATAAGATATGTGCCTGAAAATTGTATTAATGCTTATAGAGATTTATGTATAAATGATCATGTCACTTTAAATTAATTAGGAAGAGCAGGGTTATTCTATTTCCTAAGATTAGCAAAATAAATGATTTATAAAACGTAATAAGTTAATAGTTCATAATTTGAATAACATCTTCCATTTACTAAATTTGTTTAATATAGATATTTAACATAAGAATAATTATCAATTATAGATTAATCATATTAATCTATTTTAGAATTAGATGATATTCTAAAAGCATATTAACCAATTTATAGATCTAAAATGCATGAGAAATATATGTTTACCAAAAATGATATCACTAAGGTAACAATCATTAATGATACTGTCACTCCTTTCATAAAAGATTTAAGATAACTCTTTACTGATAAATAATATATGAGAGAATTTATGGAAAAAATATTAATCGATAAAGATGTTGCTCCAACTTCAGAATTTGATATTACTGATGCTCCATCATAGGAAGTCTAATTTATGTCAGCATAAGGAATTACGAGATATGTTTAGATCTTTTTCACATATATATATGGTAAAAATAGGAATAGATAATCTCCATTTTCTGCTACTTAATCATTTTTTATGTCTGATTTCTATTTTAGACTATTTAAGAAAATGTTTTAAGTTTGTGGTATTGCTGCATTTTATTCGACCAAAGAAATTATAGATGAATATATTGAATAATTTGATTAAAGAGAAAAATAAAGATTAGTAAGTTGTTATTTAACAGCCCTCCATAGATCATTGCTTAATGTTGGCTCTTATATTTAAGATTCATTTATTAGAATACTTCCTAATATTACTTAAGAAATATTCTATGATTATCATTTGGCATTCTTTTATATGTGCAGAGATTAAGATTGGTAATGGATTTCTCCTGTTTATTAATAGATGTTATAATGTAGTAAGAATCTTATTCCTTAAGGGGGATTTAAAGGCTTAAGATATATTTAACTATTAAAAATTCTTATTTAATCATAAGGTCCAAGAATTATTACTTTATAAGATTAAATTTTATAATAATTTGCTTCAATAATTGTGACATATCCATCTAGTGTTTATGCTGAAGAATATACTTGTACGCTTGCAACTGCATTATTATAAACTATTTTAATACCAATACCAATTGATGCTCCATATGCAGATGATCATTTAATCGCTACGACTTCAAATTTTTAAATTTGGTATAATAGTGATCTTTAAAGTTTTTTTTAAAATTTTAATGAATTTCTCTCCAATAATTCATAGACAGATAAAATTAAATTTTATTAAGAATTATCAGCAAGAATTTTAGAGTTTATTGCAATTAGTAAATTTGATAGTTATTCTTGGAAATTCATTGTTGAAGCTATGAAAATTATTTTCTAAATAATTAAACCGATATTGATGCTTAAGAGATTCTAAGAAAATATATTGAATGTGACTATGATGAAATAACTGAATTACTGGATATTGCAGAATAAATGACTAAAAATGATACCTGGAATATTAGAAAACGTGCTAATTTCTTTTTGAGAGATTGGTATTTCAAAGCAAGATTAGAAGGAAGTACATTAGATCAAATACCAAAATAATTACTCAATATGTTTTAAGATAACAATCTTTAATTGCAATTCCAGGCTGTGTCTTCGCTTGCTGATTATTTGAAATTATATACTAAATATGAATTAGAAGAATTATTCAAAACTGCATAGGATAATAGAGTATATATATTAATGAGTATGTTACTTTCACGTTAAGATAGAAATTTCAATTAGACAGATTAAGCATTATCTGAAATATTTTAAGAATTGAAAAATAAAAGGTATTGATTTATTTTATTATAGAATTTTATAAGAATTTGTATCTGAATATTGGAAGAGTAGACAAGATTGGTAGAGAATATTTAAAGATGAAATAAGTGAAGAAAATGTGAGAAAATTATAAGAAATTGTAAATCCACATCCCTATTATGCATGATTGTTTATTAATATAAAATATGTAATTAATGGTATTATAATTTTATTGTATAAATACCGATGTTTTAAATATATTTTTTCATTTAAATAGGATTTCAAATATATAATATAAATGAATGATTATAAAATCATAAGTTTAATATGATTATATATTTCATAAAGATTTCATTAATTATACTAGAAAACCATGAGGAGCAAAAATTCTTCCAGTGCAATCTGCTGATGTACTCAGAATAAATGGATAGAATGGATGCCATTTACATAACACTACTCTATCTTCATGATCAGTAATTTAAGTTATTAATTTCTGCTATTCCCAATCATAAAGAGCAATAGTTGAATCAAAGGATACACTACAAATATATCTACCAGTTGGATCAAACTCAACACATCTGCAATCCATTGTATGATGTTTCAATGTTTTTATACATTTCTACTGTTAAATATTCCAAACTGAAACAACACCATCAGCATGGGCAAGTACTGCCAATCCTTATGATGAAAACTAAGGAGCCTTTCTTGAACCTTTTACTAAATTTTATAAATTTTATAAATTGTAATTTGTTGTTGATTCTGATAGAGAAACATAATTAATTTCGGTTTACATAGTCATCACTCCTTAAGCTTTATTAGTTCGTTAATCCCATATTCTTAAAGTTCTATCCATTCCACAAGAAACTTAATATGATCCATCTCCTGCTGTCTATAAACTATTATATTTTATAGATGCAATTTAAATACCAATATATTGTTTAAGTATGTCCTTCTAAATTTCTTATGCATTTTTATGTTTCTACATCCCAAATCTTAATAACAGCATCCTATCCAGCTGACATCAATCTATTCTCATCACTAAAACAAACTGATCTTACTAAACCCCTATGACCAATCAAACTTACATCTGTATCCTCTTCCACATTGTATAATTTAACAATTTTATCATTACTTCCAGTTCCTATTAATCTTCCTGATCGACTCCAATCAATACAATAAATAGATCCTTAATGATGATTTTATTTTTCCAATTACATAACAACTTGACTTTCTTGTAATACTGATTTCATAGAAAATATTCTGAGACTCTTAGAATTAGTTCCGATTGCAAACATTTCACCATCTGATGAAAATGCAGCTGCTCTAATAGGATGTATATCTGACAATGTAGCAACTTAATCCATTTCAACAAATTTATAATTAAAGAGTTATGATTATATACTACTATGAGTAGCATTTAAAATACTTTCCTTTTATATTAACGATTAATCATTTTCATTAATATCTGATATATGTAATTTTTCTATTATAATATTTTTATCGAAATCAGTAGGTAATTATGAAGAACTAGATTATTACATTTGTAATTCAGACTTCTTTTTTTAGTAAACTAATATACTAAAGGTATTGCTTTACATTTTGAATTTTTATTATTATCTTCTTCCTCTTCAACTTTTTCATATAATTATTGTAGTGTATTACCATTGTATTTTTCTATTCTAAATGTTTTACCTAAATTCTTAAGTATAGATGCTATTCCTTCAAAACAATCAAATCTTCCCTATTATTTTATAACCCTTTTTATTTACTTTTTCAACACTCCAATCACTAAACTCTGAATGATCGCGAATACATGATAAAGTCAAAAAATAACAAAGGTTTTTATATATTTCAGGAGGTGCCAATTATTCAATTTATCGTAATAATGCTATTAGAATTTCTACATCTGGTTTAGTATTTATCAATTCAAAATATTATTGTTTCTTCAATTCCAATAATACATATGAAAATTGATCATTGAGTCTTGTCTTTAAAGGTTAGAGATATTGTTCTGCACCTATGAAGTTACCTTCTAATATTTGCTATCTAAGAAATTATAATTCTCTAGTATAGGTATCAATAGAAATCTATTATTTGAGTTATCATTTTCTTTTTACTTATGTCTCCAGTTCCAAATGTAAAAGACTCTTAAATAATTTTTGATCTCTTAAAAATATCAAGATCATCTACAATAATTGTTAAGTTTATGGCATTATTTAAGTTTAAATTAATTATAAGTTTTGATTTATTGAAAATAATCAAAATTAAGTTCATGAACTAGGGCCAAATAATCTTATAAATAGATCTTCCACAATGACAATCTTCCTATTCAAATTAAAGTAGAATTACTCCTATATTTAAAGGAATAAAACCATATTAATACTATTAAATAAAAAACATATTTTCTATTTTTAGAATGAACTTTCTATAAAGATAATAATAATGAATCTAGATAGTAGAAAATTAAAAATAATTACTTTTTTTAACTATTAGGATTGAGAAAAGAAAATATAGTAATTGAAACAGAAGATGAAATTCAGCAAATATTCAATAAATATTTCAAACATTGGATTGTAATTTATAACTATCCTTATTCTTTTTTTTTAAGAGAATGAGTTTTTATAAGATCTTAAATTAAGATAATTAAATGTTTCAATTTTAGCTTATGTGACATGATCATATATAATAAAAACGAAATTGTTTTATAAATACTTGTTAATAACGTCAACGTTTAGGGATTATCTAAATCTATTGATAATTCTGAGATTTATGATCTTTTTAATCTTATCAAATTTCTTTACGTTTTTTTTTAAGATGCATTTTGCCAAAAATGAATTATTTGAATGCCTTTTTTGAGAAAAATAACAAAACTAAACTATGAATTATTTTTATATTTATCCTATAAATTTAGATTATAAGGAATGGCTATGAATTATTTATAAAAAGTTTTTATTTAGAATAAAATTATTTTAGGCATATATGACAAAAATCATTTTGATTGGCATGACCCTAAAAGAAATGACCTCATGTACTTATCCACTATCAGTATGATCTATTCTTTAATATCAAGGAAATTAAAATAAATTACGATCCATCTCTTAGGACTATAAATATACAACTAACTTACAAAAAAAAACATATTATAACAAAGAAACCTTTATTAATAAAGTTGATGACATTCCTATAAAAAATAACAAATTTGAAGCAGTTAGAGAAAGTCTCTATATAGATGATATTGCTGTAAATAATTAAATTCAAATTTAGGGAACTAGACCCCAAATTGCAAAGTTTAAAACAACTAGAGAAACTAACCCAGTTGAACCTATATACAAAATTCCTTCATATTAAGGAGCTGATGTTCATTAACCCAACAAATTTATTAGAGACACATTAAATATATCAGATATTCAAGGAACTGTCCCAAAAATTAAGATCTATAATCCAAGGAATGTAGATCCATACACTTTTATTGAAGGCTCTAAACCTAAATAATTAAGACATATTATTAATCCTTAGGAAGAATAAGACATGAAGAGAGCCTCAAATAGACAAGTTAATCCTCTCTAACCTTTTTATAAATGGGGTGAGGAGATTATAGGACCTGTGGAAGGATCGCAGCCTTTTAATCATTGCAAGGACAGAAATAAATTGAAAAGTCTTTCTTTGTATACTAAAGACATAACGGAGCTTAATCGGACACTGTAAAGAAAATCCCAAAAGAATCTTAGAAGCTAACAAATAATACATAAGATATATATAGAGCATAAGCTGATACTATATAAAGGGGAATGTAAACAAAGAGACAAACTAATCCTTTGCAACCTGCTTACTAATTATTAGGATAAAGTGAACTATACAACATGCAATTCAAATGAATATTTATTATTAAAAGAAATTTAATAATTATTTTTTGATAGATATATATATATATCTATATGATCATCTTGATAATTGACCCATTAAATTTGCTTGAGATGGGTAAGATGATGATATGGCTAATGGATAGGTATAGTTATTAATACTTTGAAAATTACCTAACATATTTTAATTTATAATGGATCTTTATTAATAAATTCCACTCTATATTTGAGGATATTCATTTGATTACATCATAAAATACGATCGAAATAGTTTAGGATCATAATAATAAGAGCCTAGACTATTTTGATTAGATAAATTATTTTCTTAAAATGTGCTTTGTTAACTAATTTCTGATTTATTTAGATAAATATTTAATTGTTCAGGTGATACAAAAAATATTTAATTTTTTTCTTTATTAATTAAACAGGGTTAGAGAGTACTCATTTCAGCTTCTGTTAATTGATATTCCTTCACTTGCAAGTTGATTTTATCTTGATTATTAGTATTTGGTTGCTAGGGTCTTCAATCCTTTTTTATAGTATTATTAGATTCTAATTTAACTTTTTTAATAATATCTAAATGTTCTTCTTTAATAATATCTTTCTGATCATTTTCTCGGAGGTTTTGGCTTTATTGGATTCTCCACTCTATTTTTTTTATGATAGTATGTATGAGTTTTATTTCATCATGATTCAACTCTTCTGCGGATGGAAAATTAGAAATCTTAGATTCTTCTGATTCACTTTCTTCCTTCTATATTAAATATAGCCTACCCTGCTTTTTGACTTCTTTCTTTCCTTAATAGACAATTGAATCTATTTTTGACACTATTCTCACTTCTTGGTATTTTTAATTTTTTTGAAATCAAAGCCCATTTTTTCCCATTTTAGATTGATTAGTATAACAAATCTAAATCCTCATTCAATTACCATGGATTTCTTAGGAGATTTTCATATAATAGTTATACCTATTTATAAAAGGATTAAGATGATTGTTCCATCGCTCCCTACACTATTTACCATTTCTATGAACATTTGATTCACTTATTTTATTTAGAGTAGTAGCTATCTAACTCCATTTATTTCCTTTGTTCTAATTTTAATAGTCATATATTATGGACCTTAATAGGTCATCCTCAGGTATAGTCCAAGGAGCTTGTTACAAGGGAAGTTTAAGCATTTGTAGCCATTTCTGTTTAAATTTAAAGCCATCCCTTCTTGGCATCATGTTGGCAATGGAATTCCAATCATCATCGCTCTTAAAATAGAGTTAAATTTATATACGATAGATTTTAGGTCTCTTCTATTAGATGCAGTCCATTTACCAACCAACCATATGAGTACCTTTTTGTCATCATCTGTCCAGTTCTTCTTTAGTTTATTTTACTGAGATTGTAAATTCAACTTGTTATTTTGTTGAATCGTGAAAACCTCTTAATTGTCAGGAAAAGTATCCACTCCTAGGTTATACAATTCTCTCATATAATTAAATCTAATATTAGTAATGTCCTTGGTTTTAGAATAGAAATGGAGAAAGTTTTGATGAAAATCATCAACAAGCTGGTTTTCAGATGATTGCATTTATTATTTTATATTTAAAAATTACCTTATTAATTTAAAAATAAAATCTTGTTAATTAAAAGAATTTAACTAAGACTCTTTTATTATCATAAATGCAATTAATTATTGAGAACAGATAACAATTTTATTAGCAAAATGTAGATTTTATTTTTTATTCTTGCTTTTTCATTTATATATGAGATGAACTATAAAGTTAATAGAATTTCAAAGATAATAATGTAATTACTATAATAAATTATTGAAATTAAAAGAGAACAAATTTATTAGTTAATAATTTTGCTAAACTTTTTAAAATATGTGTATAAAACCATAGATTCACTTATGCTCAAACATGTTATATTAAATATAATTTGTTATGTTCTCTTAAATCAATTATATCGCAGTGTCATTATATAAGGTACAAATATAAAGAAAGATATTGATATTGTTAAATAAATTAAGTTTAATTGATCTAATATACCATTTAATTAAAGAAAAAGGTTTTTATCCTTTGAGTTATAATAGAATCTGTAGTCAAAATTGCTGAATCATATAGCAACTGAATTTATTGATTAAAATGTTAAACTAAAGAATAATCCCCAGTATTTCTAAATATTTATTTATTATTAAACAAATAAGAAATTTAATTCATAAAGGTAAATTTCATTAAACTATCAATTAGGTTTATAGTCGAATCTTCCTAATAAAATAAGTCCTAAAAATCAGTTTAGAAGTTCAATTACAAAATTTAGAATAGAATTTAATAGAAATAGAAATAAGAAATTATAATTAATTTATAAGTTTTATAGAAATAACAATAGTTTGTATCCTTATAATAATATTTATTAATATTTAAATGCAAGGAGTAATTACATAAAATGGATCAGATGAAGAGACAGAATTTATATTTGACTCAAACACAATCTAACTAAAGGAAACAAGGAGTAAAATTTCTAAAGCAAATGTAAGACTTTGATTATTAATAATTCTATAGGAAGAGATTAAATAATTAAATGAGTAGAATAAAGAATTGATCATCTAATTAAATCGCTAAAATGAACTCCTTGAATTGAAACACAAATAAAATTAATAGTTGTAAAATGAAGGTAAGTATGATTGTTTAAATGTTTAGCAAATAAATTTAAAGAATAAATGGATGATAGAGAACAAAAATTATTATAATCAATGAAAGAAAAACAACAATTATAAAACGAATTAATTGCTATGCATGAAATTTTGGATTAAACAACCAAAAGAAATGATTTAATAAATTCTGAAGTATTTGTATTAAAATTAACTTTGGAGTAATTTCAATGTAAATTACCTAGAAACTGTAACAATGTGTAAAGAAGAAACAACTTAAGCATTATAAAGGGAATTAAAATTAAAAGGAACTATTGATTAACAAAATAAAAATTTAAAGTTGTAAGAAGAATAGATCAGAAAATTTACAAATGATTCTAATAAGAAAGACATTTAATTTAAATTTGAAATGCAAAATAAAGAAACTATTATTTAAGAATTGAGAAATCAATTACAACAACAATAATAATAAAATAATGAGATAATTAATGAATTAATAGAATAAAAAAATTAAAATATTTAAAATTCAGTTTATGGTAAAGATTATAAACCTGAATTGACTAAAATTACGAAAGAAAATGAAGAATTAAAAAATAAATTTAAAGGTGTGACTTATTAATTGAATATCTATAAAGAAAAAGAATAATCATAAATAAAAGAAATAACTACTTTGAGATAAATGTAATCAAATTTATCAACTGAAATAGAGAGATTATTAAATAAAATAAATGAATAAAAATTAGAATTATTGAATTAATAACAAGAGAGTCAAAATGTTTTATAAGAAAAGGATAAGAATATTAATTAGTTGATGAATTAATTGTCTCTTTTAAAAAATTAAGATTAGAAATTAAATTTACATAAGAGTATATCACAAAATGCAGATGAAAAATTGCTTAAAGATATACAACTTAAAAATGATTAGATTGCTATGTTGTAAAATGAGAACAATTTATTAGTCAAATTAATAGAATCTTTAAAGAATTAATAAAGTAGTTTTATTTATTCTATTTTAGTTGACTATCAAGGAACTGAAAAAATTAAGATTAAACAATTAGAATCAGAACTAAAGAATTTCCAATCATTTATATATGATAGTCCTCTTGTAGTGCTGTTTAATTTATTAGAGGATAGATTATCAAAATAATAACAAAAAAGTTTTGAAAATAAGAATAAGATAAAGGAGTTTTGGGCAGCTTAATTAAAATAGTGGACAGAAAGATTTGAAGAATTAAAATAAGCATTTTCTGGTTTAAAGATTGTTTTCAAGTATGATTTAAAATATGCTAATCAAACATTGCAATAATGATTGAAGTTATATTTTATATATAGATATAATAAATGGAGAATAATTTTAATTATGTTCGCAAGTTTCATACTCTTTTTCTTTATTTTTTGATCATTAATGTATAATTAAAAATTAACCCAAGATAACAATTATATTATAATCTCTCTAACTATTTGAAGAAATATATCATCATAATAGTATTAAATATCTGGAGAAACTAATTATATAATATTATTAAATATATTAGTAGTCACCCAATCCCCTATCAACCTAAAGATTATTTCTTGGGGAAAGTATTTAATAGATTGGAATATAAATTGAGATATTTGAACATTTCAACAAGTAAAATAAATTATTATTTCATTTAGTTCATGTAAGTGGAAATTATGATGAGGATAATAGATTAAAAATCGATACATGTAAGAACTTCATGAAAGCTTTTGGAGGTAAGTTATATCGCATTCCTCTTGTGGATGTGAAGTCAAATTTGTTGGATAATTCAAAATTGGTAAGGGATGTGGAACTTGGATACTTTATATTAAAAATAACAGTTTTGTGGAGGAAAAATTATAATGAAGTAACAGGATTGAAAACTGGTGGGTTGAATTATAAGAAAATTGTTATAGGTTAAATTGATGTAATTTAATAAGGAACACTCCTATTTTATGTATTATGGGAGAATATCAATATAGGTTTAAATAAGAAGAATTGAATTTTATATGAAATTATTTTAAGTAAGAAATTTTGATAATTAATTATAAAATAGATTCAAAACTATTTTGTTTTTCAATAGATGAAAAAATTACTATTTTACAAACGAAACAATTCTTGTATTTACAATAAAATTTATTTTATTATCTGACTAAAATAATAAATATTTTATCTTAAACAATCTATTATTAATATATTAAAGATTTCATATACTTTAAATATTGTATAAAATATTTTCTAAATAATTTGATATTTTATAAGAATTCATAGATCTTTTCCATATAAGTAATTAACAAATAACTGGCCCAAAGATTATGGATGGAAGCTTAATTTACATCTAGGACACTTAGCTTTATAATAATTTCCTTCATATTCATTAATGAAAGATGGTTTTAAACATTTAGGACATGTGTAAATTTTATTTCCAATAATACTAAAGGCATCTTAGTAAAAATCTGTAATTTTTTAACCTGCATCTTGTTTAAATGATTATATTTCTTTTTTGGTTAAATTATTATTAGTCCAAAACACTTCCATGAATTACATATCACAAAGCACCTCAAGGTCTTTTACTTTAAAGAATCCTTAATCTCCCCAGTCAGTTCCCCAAGAGTTGATAAATGAATAATACTCTGAAGTGTACTTATGTAATACAACTGCATGTCCTCCAACATCCTTATTTGATCTTTTGGAAGATTTTTTAAAATTCCTTTTGGATTATTTGCAAAAAATGGTTTAAAACCCAACCGATTAGGATCTTTACTATCCCATTAATCATCACATAAATAAAATCTTGCCAATAATGGTCTTTCTTAATGTAAACATTATTTAATATCACTTATAGATTTTAATTCTCTACATTATAATCTAAAGCTTGAACAAGTTTTTGTAACAATTTTAAATGTATTGCCGCCTTCTGTTCCATATTACTAAATTAAATCTTATCGTATTTTTTCAAAGGTTGGATAACCTCCCTCTCTTTTATATATTTTCTACATAATTAGTTCATAAACAGCTGCTATTGCATTAGCATAACATGTTCCTCCTTCTTATTCTTAAGCTTCAAATTAATTGCTACTATTGATGTATTATTCTATATTTACTTTACCTATTAAATTAATCAAAGCATCTTATTCATTCTTTATTTTGATGAAATAATTAAAAAATTTATTCATTAGATTTGGATCATTACCTTATAAAAATAACCTACTTTTTCCAATTTATGATAATTTAATATTTGTGTGTTGTCCAATAGAACACAAAGGATAGTCAAAGTTAGAAACTACTGAACTCATCTCAAACATTATTTTTGCTCCTTCTTCCCATTAGGATTAAGCGTTATGATACATTTAAGTATCATCAATTTTACGAGAAGTAGAAATGTAAAAACAAACTATCATAAATCCTTTATTTTTTAATTACTATGCATATTCTGTTGGATCTCCATCAGTGGATTCTCCATCAGAAATGATAAACAAAAATTTATCTTTAAACATTTCATAATCATTATTTAATGTTAATTTTAAACATTTTTTCATAGGAGTTCTACCATAAGAGATTTATTTAAATTCCTCAAGCATTTATGTTTAAGCTTCAACTTCATTTCTAATTAGTTTATTTTTTAAAGGTCTTGTAATCTTTCTAATACTCAATATAGAAATTTTTTCACCAATAAGTTATTGTTTTAATTCTTTGAGCTGAGTTTAAATATTTTAATTCACAAAATCATAATTAAATAATTTATCAGACAACATCGAACTACTTTTGATAAATAAATCGTGAAAAGATTGTGATTGTTATTTCACTTATGCTGGCAAATTTGATATAAATCGCTTGAATTAATAGTTATTATTTTTAAATTATACGTAGATTAAGAATACTAAAAACTCTGGCATATCTTTTCTTAGATTCTTTATTGTGTAATATGTTTACAAATTTTTTGCCTCTGTTTCTACTAGAGAATAAAGTAGTTGATACCAGTCTTGATTATCATTTTATGATATCTTTTCCAATAACGACTTTAAAATTGGGGTAAAATCAACAACATCTTATTTTTCATCTTTGCATCCAAATGCACCAGCAAATAGATAATCATTTTATAATTTTTCATCTTAGATTGATGTAAAAACCAAATTCCACACAGATTCCAGTCTTGTTTTATCTATTTAATTCTATTATATATTTTCTCCGCCTATTTACTCATAACTTTCTCTCATAGACCCAGATACATCTATTAACATTCCAAATAATCTTTTGTTTTAATACTGATTATTCATATTATCTGTAAACTGTTCTTACCAATTTTACATTTTAATTCTGATTTTATATTTTTAATTCATTTTCTTTATATAATTTTTTATAGTCTACAAAATATAATTTGTAGAATTAAATAAAATTATATTTTTTTTTGTAATTCTATAAAAAAATAATTTATTAAATTAATAAGTTTATTATTCTTATCATATTAATAGTTCTATGGATTTAAAATTTGTTAATTATTGGTTTATATTTTATGTGATGTTATGAATAAAGTTAAAGCTAGAAAGAGATTAAATCATATTCAATGATAGTCTCTAAATAATTTTATTCTTTAACCATTTGGAATTTACACAGAGAAAATCATTGTCTAATAATGTTCTTGAAAATAGAATCGAAAAGAATATGATTATCTTTATATCACAAAAAGAGAATTTATATCAACACTATCAATTCTAAGTTAATTTTATATGTAGACATCTATTTGAATTGAATAATTTAATCTAAATACAAATATAGATACTAACAATAATTAAAGTGAATAATCTCAATAACTGGAATATTCCTAGAATTTTATTAAATAGGAAAAATTATGATTTCTTTTTCATTAACTAAATTTTTCTTTTTTTTTTCTTCATTTCTGTCTTAAAATATTTTCTTAGTTGTTCATTCTATGAAAATTATAGCAATCATTTAATTTATTTAAATTGGTATCAGTTAATGTAATAGATATTTATTATTTGAAATCTATCAAATATATAAAAAGAATAAAAGTTATTAATGTACTTTCGATCTATTCTTAAATTATCAAAATAATCAATCAAAAATAAATATGATTTAAAAATTATACCAATGATGAATGGTGATCATTGAATTATCTAAATTTACAATTTAGTATCTGATAATAATATTCTATTTTATTAATAATAAAATTGTTATCTTACTTTTAAAATCAACTGCTATATTATATAATAGAGTTCCTTCTTTTTAATAAAGTCTGCAATATTATTACAAGGTAATTTATAATCTAAACATTATCTTTCAAATAAAAGTAGTATTAAATTATTCCATCTTCTTTTAATTCTTAAAATTATTGAAATTAACTGAGATCACTTTAAACTTAGAAAGTTTATCATAATTAAAAAGGAGAGATTATTCATTTGTTATATGTTTTATCAAAATTAACATATTACTATATAAATTTAACTTTAGAGAGGTGTAAAGTTAGGCTTCATTTAAGCTCCATATTGAAAATGTATATTATTATTTTTATTAATTTTAAAACCTATTTACATGTATTTTAAGCATTTTTGCATTGTTAGTATTTGCTGAAGATGAAATTTAATTTTTAGAATAAGGGATTAGCTCGAAATTTGTATAGATATGAAAATATTGCTGTTTATATAAATCATTTAAATTTGATAATTGGTTTTTCCCTCGAAATCATTATTGAAATATCGTCACACTCAATCTCTTTTAACCTTAAGATTTTTTTGTTTTAAATTATATAATTTTATAAATTCTAAATATACTTTAAAGTTGAATATATATGATTAAGAATCCATAAATATAAATTATCAAAAAGTCGCTGTTTCACACAATAAATATTCATTTATTTAAAATTGAATTGATTAGTTACACTTCATTGTCGTTTTTTAATGAAATTAATTCCACAAATTAATTGAAGTTTGATTTTAATATCTTATGTTTTAATGTTCTCAACATTTCAATGATTATTTAAAACTAATATTCTTAATAGTCTTTTTCCAACATTTTATCCCATAATTCAATAACTATTTCGATATCTAAATCTGATGAAAACAGAGTTAAAAACCATCTTACAAAAATATGTGAAAGAGCTATTCCTAAATGATTAAGATGTTTAAAAATTTAAGGTTCTTAATTTTTTATCAATTCATCAAATCTATTCATTGTTACAGATAACCCTTTTTAATTATCTGATTACAAAAATAAATGTTATTATTTTTCCATAATTATTTCGAAACAAAAATAACAATCTGCTTCTTTTTGAATTACTTTAATTATTGGGGCTAATAAATAATTCATTCCTGACTAAATAAATTATTAAGGTATAATATACTATGTATCCGATATTTGGATGTAATATACAATAAATGTAAGAGACTCTTTTCATTACATCTAAATATGTTGTGCTTTCTAAAACATTTTAATTTAATTTGAAAAGATAATCATCTGTATAGAATAACTATTCAATTTTCAAATTGTATTCCTTTTTTAAAAATTAAAATTATGCTAAAATCCGACTAATAATTGTTGAATTAGTTACCTATTATCCATTTCAATAATTCTGTAAGTTCTCTCCTTTTATTCATATTATTCAAAGTTCATATATTATGAAACAATTTACCTTTTTTATTCTTCAAACTATTATGTAGGAGATGCAGAATTCTCCAAAGTTTACTTCTTTAATTATTCAAAAATAAGCATCTCATTAGATTTTGTGATGTCATTTACATATTAGTTATATTTATTTTCTTACTCTTCAAAGAATGAATTTTTTCCATTAAATGGTAAATATCCTAAAATCTTCATCCATTTAATAGCTCTCTCAGAATAATTATTCATTTATCCAATACTTATTAAATATTATAAATAAAAAAATGAAGTTTTAACTTTTCAAGAAGAATGCATAAATCATACTTCTGAAATAATGCAATACTTACAATTTATTTGATAAATTTATATTTTAAAGGAATACTTCAAAATATAAATAAAAAGTCCCTATTATTTTAAAATATGAAATTGATTGAAATTGTGACAATAATATAATGTATCTTAAATAATTTTTATATTGTAGAATACTAATTGGTACAATTATATATGAAGTAGAAGTATTTTAATAAGTTGATTATTATACCTTCTTAAAATTTTCAGCTATTAAATTTTCCTTCATAGTATAATTTTATTCACATTTATGTATTTTAATTTAAAGGTGCTTGTAATGAGATTCTAAAATTTGTTTGGATCATCAGAATCTAATTTGATTTGTCTTTTTATATGCTGCATAGTCCAGAAGGATATAGCGTTTATAACTATATTATAAAATTAAGATTGTTATTGTAATTAAATATCTTTTTAGAACAAAATTTTTTTCATTTAAATTATTTAAATTTATTAGATATATCATTTTTATAATTTAAGAATCTTTATCTCAACTACTTTTATTCCTTACATGGGCTGAAATATATAGAAAATGCTTACATAATTCTGATCCTTGAATCCCTATAAACTTAGGCTACCTATCTCTAAACTTCATTCGTTTCAGGTCGTTCTTTTGGATTATATTACAGGCATTATGCAATCAATTCAATCAGTTTGTAGCTGTAATCAAATTTCTTCTATTCAAATTCCTTTTTAATGTTATCAGGATGAAATTTTGTTTAGTTATCCTCTGCATTTAAAAAGGAATGAGGAAATAATGGGGTTCCTTTATTTAATATGTATAAAGCGACTAATCCAAATTAATATAAATCAGATTTCATTGTGATATTTTCCATACTCTCAGGAGGAGTAAACTATAATGAATCACACATCTAAGTGCCTTCAGCTATATTAATCTCCACCTTTGCCTTTTCTTAATCTCCAACGTAAAAGTGTGCATCAATTAAGTTCTAATTATCAATATATATTGTTTATGGTGTGATATTTCTATGCATAATGCATTCTGAGTGAAGTGCTTTTATACCTAAAAAAATTAATTAATAGTTCACCTTTAATAATTTCATTTAAAGCTCTATAGGCTATCTTTCGATATTATTAATTTTGTAAAATTTGAATATCATATTATCCAACAGCATCAGCAAAACTCATAATGAATTTTTTTTGAAAAAAAAAAGTTTAATCCAATATTCTCAAATAAGAAAAATTAATCTTAATGTTAGTAGTATCGGATAATTTTTCTGTTATTAAAATCTCCCTATCTTAGTATTCTAATAATTGTTTATGTTGATATTTCTACATATCATAACATCTGTATAAGATAGTCTTTGAATCAATATTAAAAATTTTTTGAAATATTGTTGGTGTTGTGAATTCAACTGAATAATTACCTTCCATACCGAAGGAAGAATTTATTTGCTTAATTTTAAAGAAACAATTTAATCCATAATGACTCTTTTCATCAATTTTCAAATCTTAAACCAAAGAAAGCAAGTATTGTATAATTGTTTCAAAATTATTGATCATCTGAATTTAATTAAATTAAGGAAAGTACAGACGTATGAAGCTTTTAAAAATATCAATGTTTGGAATAGCCATAGAAAAGTGTAAATCTTATAGGTCGATTAGCTATAGAAATACACAATTTTCGATTAAATATAATTGTTGGAGAGAATAAAGATTCCATGTTATTTTTTTGTTGCTTAATTCGTTTAAAGCTAAGTCATATATATATATTTTACTCATTGCCAATTAAATGAGGATAAACTCGATTTGTGATTCTTTCAATTTAGTTTCAGTCAAACGATATTATTTCCAATCTCTCATAATAATGAGTATTTAATTAGAATGAATTATAGTATCATGAGGTTACAGAATATTAAAAAGTTTTAAATTCAGCATTGATTTGAGATGTTACTCATTCTTAAAATATTTTGTATCTGTTTCTCTCAAAATAAAATATGGCGAAATCTATGAATCATGTTTTTTTTCTATTCTGTGGAATTTTATTGGGGAATGTTGTTCCATTGTCTCTTCTAGAGTTTTATAATTGAACAAATACTAATCACAATTCATAAATGTGTAATAGAGTATTTTTATATATAAAATAAATAATTAAAAATTTGTATAATTATCATCCTATATTTCTAATAATTTTAGTTCTAAAATTTTACTAAGACTTTGTTCCAGGTGTTCTTGTAATTGATGTAAAAGTTGTGGCATAAGTTCTGGCAAATTAATTATCATCTTCATTTTCTTCTGGAATTTCAATGCCCTAATTATTTAATTCTCTCTTCTTCTCTCTATATTCTTTGTTCATGCTATCTAATTACGATTTCAGTTCCTATTTCTTTTCCCTCAATTCTTTGCATTGTTTTATGAGATGTTTGTTTTAGTCTTAAATTGTGTCATAAGCTACTTCTCTTTAGCCAAGTTAATATTTTACTGAAGCCTCAACTTCAGAGAGACTTTATTGTAGATATTATTTCTGACTTGATAATGCCTTATAAATAGCATTTTGTTAACTTTGATCAATCTGTTATTAAAGAGGATCCTTTTACATATCCTTTAAAGTTTCCTAAAACACAGGATTTTTAATAGTGATTGCCTTACTATTCTCGTTTTACACCATATGATACAGTTCCTCTAATTTTTCTGGCCAATCTCCAGTATCGCTATTAATCAATGTTTATATAGAAGACTTAAAGTTCTCCATATTTCTTTTTGATAAAGATAAGACAGTTAAGGCAGACTTTAGTTGGTTTTTAAATATATTTAAATCTGTAATTAATTTTCTTTCTTCTTCAATTCTAGATTGCTTTAATCCTGATTCTTCTATCAATTCATTATAAAGGTTCTTAACATGTTTCTGGATAAATATTATGAATAATTACTTCCATATTTTTTAGATGATCCATCAAAGGCTCTCTTTCGTCCTTAAGAGTATTTACTCTATAATCATACACTTTTTAGAAATTTTATAAATGAACATTTTTCATTCTAAAATCTTTTATTTGTTGTTCCCTTTAATTTATTAATTTTTCTTTCTCTCTTAAATCTGCTAACATCATTTTGTGTTTTTCTTCATACCCTTTCAATTCTTAACGTAAACTTTACAAAGATTCCTCAGTTTCTATTTTATTTTATTAATTCTCTACCTTTTTTTAAATTATGTAAAATCTCTTTTCTATTTTAATATCTAACAATTTCTTTTTTAAATCTGGAAATACTAGATCTCAATATTTCTGTTTGAGTATTAAATTCTTCTAATTTTGCTTTTAAGGATTGTTATGATTCTTTGTAAAATGTTTCATAATCTTTCTCACTTTACTGCAAAACTTCTTTGAATTTTCTTTGATCCAACTTCATATTGGACATAGCTTAACTGAATCTATTGAATAAATCTTAATATTTTTAGCAGTATTCATCATCAACCTAAGAAATTGATTATTAATATTCTTAATTAACTAATCGTCTTTCTTCATCTTGCTGTTTAATAATACTTTATAATTTCTCATTTAATTTGTCTCTTATATCATAAATCTACAATAATTTCTTTGAATTTTATTCATTCATTTCCTCAATAGTTTTCTTAGAAGTTGCAATTAAATTTTTTTTATCCTCTTTAATCTTGTTGTTCTTGGCATCTGATTATTAAATTGTTTAGGATAATTAATCTTAGACTTTTTGAATCTCTTTTGTATGTTCATCACGTATTTTTTTTAGTTTATAGTCATTATTATTCAATTAAACTTCCTTAGCGTCATCAATATCACTCTTAAAATTTTACAATCGATATTCTAATTCTTTAAGCTGCTCCTACCTTATTTCTTAAGCTGTTGTTGAACATAAACACAAACTATTAAGTGCGAAAGTATTAGTAATCTTGTTTTCTATATCACCTCTAGTTATCAGATCCAATTATGTAATCTAGTTTTAATTAGATATTAATTATTACTTCTTCTCCATTAATGAACTATTTGATTTTACTAAAAAAGATACTACCATCAATAGATGAACTTATTAGATAACTAAAGATGTATCAACTTCTAAGACCATGTTCTAACCCTTCTAATGATAAACCTTTAATTTCTATTATGAAACACCAATAACAAGATCGTATTCAAAGTCATAACATAAACTTTGATACTTGTTTTGCTTTTAGGCATGTTCTAAGATTCTTTCTCCAGAAAGTAAATTTCTTATGAAATTAACAGATTGTCCTGAAATATATTTAATTAATTTTAATACTTTATCAATAAATAATAGATCCTTTAGATTTGTTTAGTGATTAGGCAAGACATTAATCATTTTATATGTTAATGGGTTATACAAATAAATTTGATTACCATTAACAGCTGCTAAAATTTGACCTCCTTCACTATATGTAAGTGCATTACAAACTTTAGTAGCCTCATTATGGACTAATGTAAGATCATCATCTAGGATAAAATAGAATCGAAGCCTATATATAATGAATATTTATTTAATTACCCATCCTTAAATTCAATTGCGCATTAATAACTTAATGGATGAATAGCCATTCGTAATGCAGTTTCGTGGAATTGATGTGAGAACATTTCTTTAAAATCATTAGAATAATTCCAAAATTTTATATTCTTATCATCACACACTGATGCTATTAAGATCTCATAGGAGTTGTGGCAATATTAAAATTGTATCCTTGTGAACACCTTTTTCAAATAATGGTTCAAATGGAAATTTTTTAAACTGACTTTACGATAATGGCTAAATTAAATTTAAATAATTCAATTTCCAAGCTTTACTCACATGAAACAATATTATTCAGCACTTATTACGATACTAGCGCTGCTTGATATGCAGAACGATTAAAATAAATCATTGTTAAAGCTGCATACATCTCATTGGTAGCCAAATGAATTTAATGCCATAGATATTTTCATCCTTTATAAAAATAAGTACCGACCAAATTCTAAACATATTATTCTTGTTCTATAACATCCTATTCATTTTCATAAACTTATAATGCAGTTTTGCCTATTAATATAATTATGAACCCTTTATTGGTCTTGGCTATAGAGATTCGAACATTCACTAATTTTTCTTATTCTGTTGGCTTATTTTTATCCTTGTTAATTTATTCTATAATATATATATTAAGATGATTACATAGTAAATGAACTAATTTTAGTTTAAGACTTTCATCAAACAATTAATTTTTCGTTCTAACTAAGATATTTTATACTAATTTATATTNGATTTTACTAAAGAAGATACTACCATCAATAGATGAACTTATTAAATAACTATTATCAGGAGATACTTTAATAGCTGTGACAGCTAATTAATGGACAGGAATTTCGATGGATTCCATCATTTTAGGATTAAAATGATAAAATGGATAAGAGTAAACTCTAATAGATCCTTATGTAGTTCCAAAAAAAATTGCATTATATCTATGACTAATACATATTGCACTAAATTAAGTTGGAGATGTATCAACTTCTAAGACCATGTTCTAACCCTTCTCATGATAAACCTTTAATTTCTAATCTGAAACACCAATAACAAGATCGTATTCAAAGTCATAACATAAACTTTGATACTTGTTCTGCTTTTAAGCATGTTCTAAGATTCTTTCTCCAGAAAGTAAATTCCAAACATATAAAATTCCAAATTGACATTATGAAATTAACAGGTTGTCCTGAAATATATTTAATTAATTTTAATACTTTATCTATAAATAATAGATCCTTTAGATTTGTTTAGTGATTAGGCAACACATTAATCATTTTATATGTTAATGGGTTATACAATTAAATTTGATTACCATTAGCAGCTGCTAAAATGTGACCTCCTTCACTATATGTTAGAGCATTACAAACTTTAGTAGTCTCATTATGGACTAATTTAAGATCATCATCTAGGATAAAATAGAATCGAAGCCTATGTACAATGAATATTTATTTAATTACCCATCCTTAAATCCAATTGCGCATTAATACTTAATGGATGAATAGCCACTGATAATGGAGTTTCGTGAAATTAATGTGAGAACATTTCTTTAAAATCATTAGAATAATCCCAAAATTTTATATTCTTATCATCACACACTGATGCTATTATAGATCTCATAGGAGTTGTGGCAATATTAAAAATTGTACCCTTGTGAACACCCTTTTCAAATAATGGTTCAAATGGATCTTTTTGAACTGACTTTAAAGCTTCGACAATTGCTAAATTAAATGTAAATAATTCTAATTTTCCTTAATAATTTTCTAAGATTGACTCACATGAAACAATATTATTCAGCACTTATTACGACCCTAAAGCTACTTGATATGCAGAACGATTAAAGTAAATCACTGTTAATGCTGCATACATCTCATCGGTAGCTAAATGAATTTAATGAATTCCATAGATATGTTCATCCTTGATAAAATAAGTACCGACCAAATTTAATATATATTATTCTTGTTCTGTAATATCCTATTCAATTTCATAAACTTGTAATGCAGGTTTTCCTATTAAGCCTATAATGAACCCTTTATTGGTCTTGGCTATGGTAGAGATTCGAACATTCACTAATTTTTCTTATTCTGTTGGCTTATTTTTATCCTTGTTAATTTATTCTATAATTAATATGTTATGGTGATTACATAATAAATGATTTGATTCTTTCAATTGAGTTTGTAATTCGAATTTTCCAACTTTCTTGTCACCTTTAACCATTATGAGATTGTTTTTGCTAGTTGCAACAATTGCATATTTCTTTTCAGAATTATAACAAACTCCTACAATGTTTTCATCTGATTATAACTCTAATACAGTAATCAAATTATTCTATATTTCTAACCCACTTATGTCAGCTTAATATTTGTATGATGTTAAAAATTGAGGTCCAATCAGAAAAAATTCAAAGTCACTAATTGATTCTAGCATGTTTATTTTTTATTTGATGAGAGTGTAAGAAAGTGAAACTTCTTTACTAACTGCAAACAAACTCATTCCATAACCATCCTCTTAAGTTGATAACGAGATGAGATGCTAATTTTCATCCTATATAGTACCTTTCCATCATTAATGAACAGAATCTCATGAATATTACTATTAGGCAATAAATGAGAGTGGACACATTAATAAAATCGCTTCTTTTTTCTATTGTACACTTTGACAGTGGGAAGAATCTTGCTTGTTGATTTGAATGCTATAGCAATGAACAATTTTTATCCATGTGAAACATGAAAACTCAATGCTTAGACTACTTCATCTTCAGCACTCTTCATTATATAAGTTTATCTCTTTCTAATAATGTCGTAGAGCACTATATGTTTGCCACTTATGAACATAAGAGTGTCATCATTTACAAACATACAGTTCTTTCTAATTGGATTCTATAAGCATCCAAATGAAGCTTCTAATGTTATTGATACACCATTAATTATCTGATGTGATGATTTTGACAGCATTTGTTGTTTTATTACTTTCTTTCCATTTAAAAACCACTAATCTTCCATATCAATTTTTGGTTAGTTATATTTATAATTAATAATTCAATACAAATCCCAATTTTATTCCTTAGAAAAATAGTATAAGATATTTGATTACAAAAAATGTGATGAAAAATTACTATTTATAATTTCATTTTCCTAATCACTCATTATTCTTCATTATTTTATATTAGTAGTCATTTTTAATTTTTATGAATTCTAGTATTTTAGACAGAATAAATTTGAATATTATTTCTAAACTCAAATTAACATGTATTTATCTACTCTTATCCATTTCATTCTCTTCCACTCATGCTCTCTCCCAACGGAGTTTCAGCAATAATTCCTTCAATTCCTAATTTTATTTTAAGACTTCATCAAACAATTAATTTTGCATACTATTATAAATAATATTATTAATTCTCATTGATTTATAACAATTATTATTGTAAACTCTTTAAAATTTAATATTTGTTATCAAAGAATTAATAAATAATTTCTGTTAATTCAGAGATTCATTTATACTTAGTGTAATTCTAAATAAATATTAATTATACAGAATCTTTTGGACCATTAAAACGAATAATGGATAATAGAGAAATTGAAGATTCAAACAAACAGAATGATGTAGTCAAATAACATAAATCTACTGCTAGTTAGGCTTATTTCAATTTTATTAAATCGAATTTAGGAATAGGTAATTTAATTTATTATACATACTAAGGTGTCATTGTTCTCCCTTTCGTCACTTATTAAGTTGGCTTCCTTTGGTCAATCGTTTTATTCATTCCTATTGCATTTAGTTGTTTAAAGTAAATCGCTTATCTAAAATTATGATAGATCCAGTCAATAGATGATTTAAATTGCAGATGATATGAATACAGATAATATACTCTATGCAGATATTATAAGATAGACTTTGGGATCTATTTGGGCACATATTTTGGATATTGCCATAATTTTGCAATTAATCGGACTTTGTATAGCCTATCTAATTTTTCTAACAGAATCCTTAGCATAGTCTTTACTCTAAATAGGCATTCAAATGAGCAAATTATAATGCTTGTTAATCACATTATTTATAGTGATTCCATTATCATTTGTAAGAAAAATTCATTTTTTCCATTCAACAAGTAAATATGGGTTTTATTGTGCTTTGGCTTCATTCTGTATCATATTATATGATTGTTAAAACAGGCTCTCATTTGGAAACATTCAATTTTCAAATTTGATAAACTTCAAAAGTAATTATTTAATTAATAAATTAGAAACTTTTAATTATGTTGGAGTAGCAATTCTTTGTTGTGAAGGAATATTTACAGTTTTGCCAATAAGAGATAGTATGAAGAATAAATTTGAATTTAAATCAGTTGCTGCCTAAAGTTTAATAACTGCATTTGGAATTTCAATATTTTTATCACTTATTAGTTCCTCAACCTATTAATCAGACACTCAATCAATTGTGTTATTTAGTATTTAAGTATTTTTTGGTAATTATAATAGAACCCAATCTTAGAAGTGATTTCGTTGATTTTATATTCAATTAGTTTGCTATTAACTTTTCCACTTCAGCTTTTTCCAGCTGTTCAAATCATTGAATAAATGTTTTAAAAGAAAATGGTAGAATTTATCAGCTTCAACGATATTGAAGATAATTCTAATTCTTTTGAAGAATCTCAAATATCAAAGAATGTTGCCTCAACTTGCGATAAAATTGATGATGTTGTTGTTGAAAAAGATGATCAAATATTTGAAGATAGATTCTTATAAATTATTATAAGAACTATGCTGATGATCACTATTTATTTTGTTGCATATTAGGTGCCTCATCTATCTCACTTTCTGAATTTGATTGGTAGTATCTTTGGATCCTTATTACAAGTAATATTTAATTTTATGATTTAGTTCTGTTTTCCTGTAATTGTTCATATAATCTATTTCAAAAGCTCCAAATCAACAAAACTTATTATTCAATACGTAATCATAATGATAGTTTCACTACTAGCAATTGTCTTAGGAACAGCAGAATCCTTAAAAAATCTACTTTGAACAAAAATAATTACATATTAATTCTGACTTTTTTGATAATTTATTTTTATGGATTCTTAATTATATAAGGATAATTATAAATAAAAAAATAACTCAAACTTCAAATATATTCTTAAAAATATTTTTTAGAAAAATTTTTTATTCTTAAAGGTTGAAAGAATCATTATCTAATCCTAATCTTGAGCAAATCCCTTATTCTAAAAATTTAATTTCTTCTTCATCAAATAATAAATTAAAAAGAAAATCTAGCTTGCTTGAAATTGAGTTAACTTTTCTCTAAGAGAAAAGAAGTCTAAATTATGACAAAATCCATTTCAAGAATTCTTCATCATAAACTTTAGAAATGTCAGAAAATTATTCAAAATCAATCTTTACCATCTATTACTACTTCTAATTTTTATCAGATAAAGTTAATTGACTAAATAATGTTTCTAATTCATTCATATCCTTTTAATTTTATTGATATTCTTTTGATTTATATTTTTTCTTTTCTTTTTTGATCTTTGTCTTTTGAGTATCTTCATTTTGATTTAGCTAATTGGTGATCCAATTTTCAAATAAAGTCTAGTTCATAAAAAATTGAAATTTATAAATTACTAAAAAATAGTATAAATTTTTGTTATATACAATTAAATTAAATTGAACACATATTGCTCAGAATTGTTATTATTTAGGAAGTTTACTACAGTATTCTAAATTTGGTAAGATATAAATCTTAGATTGCAGGCAAGATTTTCAAAAATTATTTTTTATCTCTTGCAAAATTAATACTTAAAATGGTCAAATGTGACTTTAGCAATATAATTTAATTTAATAGAAAACATGTTATAAATTTATAGGAGTAATGAAAAGAATTTTCCTTCCTACCTTGAATGGTAACTTATAACTATGGAAACCATTTGGCAAACACTAATTTATTTTTTATTTTTTCTGATTGCGACAGAATAGTATGATTGGCTCTCCTCAATTTACTCTCAATTAAGTGATAGTAAATCTTTTGAAGTTTACAGTAAATTAGAGTAAAGAAGAAACAAAGAAGATATTTATAAAAAATTCATTGGATTCATGATGGCTGGATAGAGTAAATTTGAAGAGATACAAAAAAAGTCTGAAAATTTCTATTTGTAGTTAATTGAGTTAATTAACCCTATAAATTAACAGTTGTATTCATCAATAATATCATAATAAAAAGAGGAGTAAAAATTAAAATTATTTATACAATTATGATTTCAATGGTAGGGTGTTGGTTGTTGGATGTGTTGGATATTGTATTAAAAAAAGGTAAGTATTTTTAATAAAACAAGATAAACTGAAATCAACATTTTAGGATTAGGAGATATAAAAATTATCATAAATGATTTATGAAAAATCTATTACCACTATTCCAAAGTGTGAGCCAAGTGTCTTCAGGTTTTCTACATTAAAGAGTCAATGTTATAGGTTAAGAAACCTAATCTGAAAGATTTCCAAGCTAGTTTTCAATATTTTTGTGCAAGTTTTTTTCACAAATGATCTATGCCATTTCCTACTTAAGAAGAAAAAAATTTATTCAAGGTTTCAGCATCACTGAAATACATGGTTGATTAAGGATTTCTTTTGAACAAATTTAACAAAAAAGAATTAAAGCGAGACAAAGATTGAATAATGGCATCAAGTTACTTATAAATGAGACTTCTTTATAAATTTTATTAAATAATTAAACTCATCAAAATATATCATCTATATATTTTGAATTGCATATTATACTAATCGCTTGGAAATAAATAGAAGATTTTCATTTTACTAGCTACTTTACATTTCCATATCAATCTAATGAACAACTTCCTTTAATTTCCAATCATGACAAATTATAAAGATAAAAAATTATCAATTAAAAGGTTTAATCAGGAACTCTAAAATTATAGCGGGTTTAAAATATAACTACTAAAAATTTATATAATTTGATAATTTAGTGTAGAATTATTTCTTGAAAATATTTAAAACAGAAAAGATCTGAAAAAGAGATGTGATATTTAAAAATTATAAATGAATAATGATTCATAAGGTTAATATAAAAATATTAATTGTCAAAGTTAAAAGAAAGCTTAAATTCATTATACCACATTTTTGGCATTCATTTCCAATCCAATGGTAAAATCCTTATGATTTAACAAAACAATCTTTTTATTTATAAGTTTGTGGATTAAAATCAACACATTCTCCAAGTTTTGCTCCTTGATCACACAAAGCAAGTTAATCTCCATTCAATTCAGGATATGCAAATCTACAATAAGTTTGATTTAATTGTTCACAAGTATATGCTTATTCACATGGATCATTATTTTTCATTGTTTCATCATAACCTTTACAAATTGGCTCAAAGTTTTTACAAAAATAATTAGATTTTGTTATTTCTTTGCAGTCTGTGAGTTCTTGGCATTAATCTTCTTACCAGTAACAAAATCTTTTTTATTAAAATGACATTAAAATGCAATCCTAAAAGTTAAACTACAAGCAAGGTTGTTACTCATTGCATATTTTAGTAGTGTCATTGAATGAACAATTATGACCTAATTGACTGCACTCAATAGAAGTTGTGACATTAAAATAGAGACAAGATTAAAAGTTCTTACATTATTAATTACTCCATGAGCAATTAGGATTTTGTAAGCATCTATTAACATTCTCATAAATCTTGCAAGGTGTATCTGAACACTTTCCATCAATGAATTGACATATACCATAATCATCACATTCATTTTCAAAAATTAGATCTGAGCATTTACATTTCTCCTCTTTATTAACAATTATTTGACAGAAGCACTAATAAATTGCCATCATAAGCAAATATTATTTCATTAATTAGTTTTTAATTTTTTAAAGAAAAATATGTGAACAAGTTAGAATTTAATAATACTTAAATATGGAAATGGTGATTATCACCACTTTTTATCTATAAAACTAAATACTATATAATTTATTTAAATGGTAGATAACTGAGAATTTTCAATATAATGTAGTATATTTTCCAAGTAAACAATTAGAAAAGCGTAAACTGTATACAATTCAACTATATTAATTATTCATTTAGGATAATTGAATCATCATCTTTGATGTTGACGAAAACAAATTAAATCAAAAAAACCTATTGCTTGTGGATATTATGTAGTTAATATATATAAAAATTAATATTTGTAGAATCTGAAGAAGGTAAATTATGGATAGATAGAAAGTTAATTAGTTTTACCAAGTAAATGTTAGCATAAAAGATAATAACTTATCCAAATCCTCTAAAATAAGTTGATAAACATCTAAATACAATTGCTTTGATATTCTAACTAATAATTAGGTTACTAATTATGCAAAAATGCTTAAAATACATGTAAATAGGTTTGAAAATTAATAAAAATAATAATATACATTTTCAATATGGAGCTTAAATGAAGCCTAACTTTACACCTCTCTAAAGTTAAATTTATATAGTAATATGTTAATTTTGAAACTCAATTATTTAAACTAAAACATATAACAAATTAATAATCTCTCTCCTTTTTAATTATGATAAACTTTCTAAGTTTAAAGTGATCTCAGTTAATTTCAATAATTTTAAGAATTAAAAGAAGATGGAATAATTTAATATACTGTTATTTGAAAGATAATGTTTAGATTATAAATTACCTTGTATAGTATTGCAGACTTTATTAAAAAGAAGGAACTCTATTCTGTAATATAGCAGTTGATTTTAAAAATAAGATAACTATGTTATTATTAATAAAATAGGAATATTATTATTAGATATTAAATTGTAAGTTTAGATAATTCAATGATCACCATCCATCATTGGTATAATTTAAAATCATATTTATTTTCGATTGATTATTTTAAAGACCAATCATCTGAAAATATTAAAAAATTAGATAATGGACAAATTACTGAAATACTAATAAATATATTTAAGATTCATAAATTGAAGATATTGATTTAAAAATTCAACACTATTTCTAATCATCAAATTATTAAATAAGAAAATACTACAAAATATAGAAACATGTTAAAAATTCAATTCAAATTTTTCCATTAACTCATTTAATATAAATTAATAAATAGATAAGGATAAAGATTAAAAGAATATGAATTATTAAGAATGCAGATCAAAATATTATGAATTATTTAAATAAAATAGGGAATCAACTCAGGAAATGGGAAGTTTTTTTGGTTAGTTAAATAAAAATTGAAATAATGACGACAAGCACCAATTAAATTATAAATTATTGGAATGTCGAATAAATGATTATCATAACATGTTAAATAATAATAATAATAAATAGATATATTAAGTTATTTTATTATTTTTCTATTATTTCTAATATATAAAACTTCTATTGATTTAAAAGCCTACCTTACCTCAGTCACTCTAACTTATCTGTTGAGAAGGACTATCAATATTCTTAGTAATAAATTGTGAGTTTGTTAAAATTACGATAAAATATAATTGACATTAATAAAATAGTGGGGAATAATAGTCTTTGTCAAATCTATTGAACAATAAAGAAAAAACCTTTAAGGAAAAACGAAATTTTCTTGTTAAAAGTCAAAAATTGTAATTTCCTCGTCCAATTTAATTGGTAATGGAAGACAATATGGACTTTATTAATTATATAAAAAGAAAAGTAGATCAAACAACTAGTCAAAATGAAATAAATATCCTATTCACCCTTTTAGGTAAGGAGTCAATTTATATAAAAGTAGTGGGTATGTCAGGGTGGCAATGGATTGTAATTAAAAATGTCCCTCTTTA